GGCCACTCGCATGGTCAGGGGGCAGCAGGGCAGGCCCTATGAGGAGAGGCGACGGGACCTGAACCTGTTCAGTCTCCACAAGAGAAGGCTGAGGGGGATCTAGTGGCCTGTTACAAACTAGTCAGAGGGGACCAGCAGGCATTGGGGGAGTCCCTGTTCCCCCGAGCACTGCCAGGAGTGACCAGGAACAACGGTCACAAGCTGGCAGAGGGTAGGTTCAGACTAGACATCAGGAGGCGCGACTTCACGGTCAGGGCAGCTAGGAGCTGGAACCAACTTCCAAGTGAAGTGGTGCTGGCTCCTACCCTGGGGGCTTTAAGACAAGGCGAGACAATCACCTTGCTGGGGTCGTTTGACCCCCGTACTCTTCCTGCCATGGCAGGGGGGTCGAACTCGATGATCTGCTCAGGTCCCTTCCAACCCTAGAAACTATGAAACAGTATAGGCTAATATTCAATGCACATCCCCAGGCTTTGATTGCTGCCCCCCAGCACACCTGGGCTGAATAGATTTCATAGACATTAGGGCTGGAAGAGACCTCAAAAGGTCCCTTCATTAAGCTTCATTAAGCTCCTTCTGGGCATTTCTGTGATGCCCTCCCCAACTGCCCGAGTGCTTTTTAAACATCAGTGGATTAATATTCACATGGCACTGCATAGGAACAGCAAGGATAAGGCAGGACTTCAATCAAGCTCTTGCATAGAACAAAAACGTGATTAAGATGCAGGGTAGGGAGGCACCAAACTCCTATTGACTTCAATGGGAGAGTTAGGATGTGGATGCAGGCCAAAGTGATTTCAATTTACCTCCATTTCTGAGTTTCAATATGAGGCACCCGAAGAGGGCAAGGATTTGGGAGGGATGGTACTTGGGACTGTCTGCAAATCGGGCACTGTGATTGCACTCTTGTCTTTGCTGCTTCACTGGGAAAGACTTCTGTTACTACTTACAGTTTGGTCTCTGCTGCCATTAGACGGACTCGGCCATGAAAATCACATAGGACAAATGTGGCCAGGTGTAAGCTACAGCATATTGGATGAAAACCGTCTACTTTTCTGCAGGACCCTGCCTCCTTCAGACGAGGTATGATGAGCAGAGCTCTGGGAATGACTCCGGGTTGGGTAGGGAAGGAAGATACCATGGGTAGATCCTCTACCTCAAGGCCTGTTGTTGGCCTTGCACATCACCCAGGTGATGCCATAGCTACGCAAGCTGAAAAATGATGCGGTCGGGGCTGGTCCTGCTTGAAGCAGGGGGTTGGACTAGACTGCACCCCTCATTGTCTGTGATGCTAAAAAAGCCATCAGCTTATCTTGTGTCCTCGCCAAAGGACTTGGCCAACATAACTCCAGCATCCGAGGCGCCTGAAGTGCAAGCAGGCCCCTCGCAATCCCCCGCCCCCATGACAGAAACCAGAGAGCTAACCTCGCAGAGCGGTAAGGCTGGCAGGGACCCCAGAGGTGCAGCCCCCTGCCCGGAGCAGGATCGTCCCTGTCCAAACCCAGCATCCAACCTACCAGCAACGCTACGGAGTCGACCCTGACATGGCGCCCGAACCTGCCACCGGCCAGGCAAGGAGACCACGGGGCCAACGTCCCACCGCTGCAGCGGTTGAAATGTCTTCGCCCTGTTTGCTGTCTGGGTGAGGTGTCATACGGCGGAACGAGCCCTCCTTTAGCGGCGCGGTCGGCGGGCTCCCTCCGCCGTGTCGCAGGGCAGGGGTCTGCCTGGCAGCCCAGGCCCACTCCCTGCTTCAGCAGGCGGGGCGGCGCGGGGGGGCAGGTCTGACCCAGCCATGCCAAGGCTGGCGGGAAGCCCACCCTCCGCTCTCCACCCAGCCCCAATTTGCCAGGCTGCGATTAAGGCCCAGGAGCTGGGCAAGGGCCTGCCCCCGTGCCCGCGGCCTGCCCCCCCACCCCAGCGGCGGCGGCGGCTCGCGGAAGGGCAGGAGGAGCGGCGCGCCCCCTGCCGGCGGG